CTCCTGACCTGGAACACAGCATTTGTCCAAGTCTCTGGCTTAGGTCACATAGGAAGGGCCACTCAATCAGCAGAATTTTAGGCTGGCACTTTTTTGACAGTTGAAACTGCTGAATTAGTTTATGGCTAAAAAAAGAATGCCAGGAAGATATTTTGAAAAGTGCTGCACTCGGATGCCTTCATCAGAGGTGAGCTAAACTTAGAGGGCCTGAGGTAGGAAGAGAAGTGTGTGAGTGACACCTCTGAGGGACAGCTCCATCCTCTGGGGACCAGGCTCCTGCCTGCAGTGCCTGGTCTGTCTTTAGGGGAAGGAAAAATGGAATCATTCCAGGCACCAGCTCTCAGTTAGAGCCCTGATGCACTTAAACATTTAGAGATTATAATGACCAAGTAAAATCTTATTTCCTTTAAAAAAGGATACTGCCAATGCTTCACATTCATTCTTCTTCCACAGCCAAAAGGAAAATGAATTTACAAAACAGAGCAGTCATAGACAGTCTCCCAAGGAAATTTAAATTGGTAAGTGCAAACCATCCAACACCAGTTTGGGATGTGTCCCTGTGTCCCTGCATCATCCAACACCAGTTTGGGATGTGTCCCTGTGTCCCTGCATCATCCAACACCAGTTTGAGATGAGTCCCTGCCTTCATCCAACACCAGTTTGGGATGAGTTCCTATGTCCCTGCATCATCCAACACCAGTTTGGGATGAATCCCTGTCTCTGACTTCATCCAACACCAGTTTGGGATGAGTCCCTGTGTCCCTGCCTTCATCCACACCACTTTTGGGATGAGTCCCTGTGTCTCTTCCTTCATCCAACAGCAGTTTGGGATGTGTCCCCGTGTCCCTGCCTGGTGACCCCTGTGTCTCCTGCTGTTTGTTGTGCCTCCCGAGCTCTGCCGTGTCCCCCTGAGTCACCCGAGCCGGGCGGGTCCGTTCAGCACTAACGAGGGCAGAGGTGTGAAGTGACTCAGGGGACAGGAACGCACTGAACGCTTCTCAGGCTCAAGCCCTCACAGTTAATCCTGCAGCCCCAAAACATTCTGAGCAGAGCCAGGGAGAGCCCAGAGGGAAGGGTTTGCTCTTCAGAACTCTCCTGTGCACCACGTCCTGGCACACCTCATCCCTGATTCTAGAAGAGAATCTGTTACTGCATCAACAGCCTCTTATTTACAGGGCTTGGATGGCATCCATCCAAACAGGGCTTCAGGAGTGCTGGAAACAATTCAGGTGTTCCACAATGACTGTTCTACATCGGAATAATCTGTATTTTTGTATTAATATTTTTTTCTTTGGCCATGATGATACTGAAGTGTCATTTTCACAGAAGTCAAGTGAGATTCAAGCCCCTCTGTACTAACAGTGGGTTCTGAGGAATACAAACACTCCTGGGTAAGCTCTGTGCCTGCAGCTAAACCATAAATGTCACATTTTTGTGCAATTTTGTGAAAAACAAGCAGGCTAAGAGTGACCACCCTCACTGCAGGCTTAAAACTCCCAGTGTTCATCTCCTGACATCAGTGCAGAGTCATTGAACAGAATCCACAGAACGTGGAAGGGACCTTAAAGATCCTCTCATTCCACCCCAGCCATGGCAGGGACACCTCCCACTGTCCCAGGCTGCTCCCAGCCCTGTCCAGCCTGGCCTTGGGCACTGCCAGGGATCCAGGGGCAGCCCCAGCTGCTCTGGGCACCCTGTGCCAGGGCCTGCCCACCCTCCCAGGGTGTTTTCTTAATATCTAATTCAAAGCATTTAAATCTAAATCTGTTATAGCCTTTCCCTGAGGTACAGAAGAACAATATTGTCCCATGGTTTTGCTTTCCCACTCAGGCTGAGCTGAGCTGCTGCTCCTCTGTCACTGTGTTTATACCTGTGCTACATGCAACAACTTTTTTGTTCCAGTGTAAAATGTGACTCACAGCAGTAAACTTGAGCATTGCATGCTCAACATCTTCTGTGTTTTACACATGACAGTGAAACAAGACTAGAAAGCTGATTTAATACAAAGGCTCTGGACCTACTGGATGTAAGGCCAGGATGGCTGCCCCTGGATCCCTGGAAGTGTCCCAGGCCAGGCTGGACTGGGCTTGGAGCAGCCTGGGACAGTGGGAGGTGTCCCTGACACAGAATGGGCTTTAATGTCCCTTCCTGGGATTCACTGTACCAACCTCCAGACATTGTCATTAAAAACATATAGAGACTCACACCAGGGACCAGGGAGGAGAGGCTGCTGTGTCCAGAGGACACACAGAGCTGATGCATGGGGCAGCTTTGGGCTGAATCCCTGGATTTGGGCAGCCCCATTCCTGGCTCTGCTCCATCCCACCCTTTCCCCAGGCAGTCCCACACCACCACCTCACTTGGTCCTCGGTTCATGGACAAAAACAACTCATGGTCTAAAAAAGAAAACCAAAATGAGCAGCAGTGGCTCCCAAGGGCTCCAACAGCTTTGAGCCACCCCCTGTGTGGCATTCACATTCTCTGAAAAAATCCCTTTGTCCAGGATTTTTCTCCTGGGAAGCTGAGAAGCCTCAGAGAAAAGGAAAACAATTCTCATCTCATTTGCTTCTCATGTGTTGTGCTCATGTGGAATGTGTTTGGAGATTGTTCACCCACAGGTGATTGTTCCATTGGATTCTGCTGGGAGTTGTTTTCACTCTTTGGCCAATCAGGGCCGAGCTGTGTCAGGACTCTGGAGAGAGTCAGGAGTTTTCATTATTATCTTTTTAGCCTTCTGTAAGTATCCTTTCTGTATTCTTTAGTATAGTTAGTATTCTTTAATATAATATAGTATATTCTTTAATATAATATAGTATTACATATTATATAATTGATATATAATTGTATTAATACATTATATTTAAAATATATTATATTGAATATGTTCTTTAATGTAATATAGTATTATAAAGTAATAAATTAGCCTTCTGAGAACATGGAGTCAGATGCATCATTCCTGCCTTAGTTGGGGCATTCCCAACAAATACAAAACCCCTGTGCAGGATCCGAGTCTGCCATGGGCACTGTCACAGCAGCCTCAGTGTGCCATGGGCACTGTCACAGCAGCTCAGTGTGCCACTGTCACAGCAGCTCAGTGTGCCACGGGCACTGTCACAGCCAATCTGCCCCCTGTGAATGCCCCTCCCCAGTGCCAGCACTGCCACACCTGCCCAGGGACACCCAGCAGTCAGGGTTGACAACAGAGCACATGGAAAGGAGCTAAAACCAAAACTGGCACAGTTTGTACAGCAGGGAGGGAGTTCATTAATCCAGTGGAACCGGAACAGGGGCTCACACAGGCCTGGCCCAGGTGTGCTCAGTGTGTGCTTCCACAGCACAGCCTTATGTCCACCACTGTGACCTTCACCTGGGCTCACAAGCTTCTGTCAACTCTCCCTGCAATAGAAACGCTGCCCTTGATAACAGGAATTTCCCATTTTCCATGGAAAAGAGCTCCGCTGTCAATCACTGCTCACTATTTCAAGTATCACCCCAACACAGCACCTTATTAATCTGCTTTCTTGCACTCTGAGCTTTAATATAATTAAATTACTGGGTCAGGTTATCAATAGGGATAAAGTCCCGTGGAATTACAGGGTTTAGGCCAGGCATGGGGTCAGTGGGGCAGGGATGGAGGAGCTCACACAGCAACAAGGGAAGAGGCCAGACACCGCTGTGGGGTAAAATAGCTGTTATTTCTATTGGAAATTATGTAACTTTCTGAACTAATTGTTTTAATTAATTGCAATCAGTGTTCACTTTCAGTTAGCACTATTTAAGTTTTTTCACAGGCTGCTATAATTACTTTGATCACTAAATAACCAAAACCTCATTTGCTAAAAGTAACCCTGCCAAGCTTCAATAAACAAAGGCAAAGGGAGTTGGAGATTGGACATCTGGGATCTTAAATTTATGACCCTTCAAGGGTGTTGAAGCAAGCAGAAAATGCAGAGGAGATTAAGGCCTGGAAAGCTGGAGATTCCCTGACTGAGAAAAAGACTATAAAAGTAATAAAGTATGTGGACCAGATTAGCATGAAGAGTGAGAAATTAACAACCAAGACCAGATAGAACGGTAAGTAATGAAGAGAATTATGTAACCTAGAGCCAATGAATGTTAATTTGTTTGCTAAAAATGCATAAATAAGTGGAAAAGTTTTGTATCTGCGTCCATGCAGAGGCTGGAGCTTTGTCAGCCACACACTCTTGGCTGAGGATACAGTAATGCCTTACTAACAGTAAGTTACTAACAGTGTCACACAGCCTTAGAGGGAGCCTTACTGATCCCAAGGACTTTGGGGGACCTTGGGAACAATTCCACAGGCACCAGCTCTGTCCCAGGGCCGCACGAGCTCCCCCTCCCAGGCTGTGCTTGTGCCTGGCCCTGCTCCCAGCCCTGACAGCCCCTCAGCAACCCCCAGTGACAGCAGTGTGACCACCTGAGCCTGTCCCTGCACCTGAACCTGTCCTGTACCTACACCTGAACCTGTCCTTGTCCCTTCACCTACACCTGAACCTGTCCTTGTCCCTTCACCTACACCTGAGCCTATCCCTGCACCTGAACCTGTCCTGTGCCTACACCTGAATCTGTCCTTGTCCCTTCACCTACAGCTGAACCTATCCCTGCACCTGAACCTGTCCTGTGCCTACACCTGAACCTGTCCTTGTCCCTTCACCTACACCTGAGCCTGTCCCCGCACCTGAACCTGTCCTTTCACCTGCACCTGTCCCTGCACCATCACCTGAACTTGTCCCTGCACCTGTCTCTGTCCCCTCACCATCACCTGGCCTTACACCTACACTTGTCCCTACACCTTTAGCTATGTCTGTCCCTATCCCTGCCCTTATCCTGTTCCTATGCCTGCCTCTCCTCCTTGTCCTTCTCCCTCTCCTTCTTTTCCTTTCCTTTCCTTTCCTTTCCCTTCCCACTCCTGTTGCCGCCCCTCAGGCGCCGCCGCCATTTCCCGCCGTGTGGGCAGGGCCGCGGTGCGCGCCGGGAGCGGGCGGGGCGGCGGCGGAGCGCGGGCTGGGTACGGCCGGGCCGGGCCGGGAGCGCCGTGTCCTGAGGGGATCCCCCTGTCCTGAGGGGACCCCGCCGTGTCCCACCGCGATCCCCCTGTCCTGAGGGACTCCTGCCGTGTCCCGCCGGGATCCCGCCCATCCCCGCGCCCCTGACGCCGTGTTTGCCTTGCAGGAGGCCCAGGATGGCGGAGAGACCGGAGGACCTGAACCTGCCCAACGCCGTCATCACCCGCATCATCAAGGAGGCGGTGGGTGCCGGGCCCCGCGGAGATCCAGCGGAGCCCCGGGAGATCCCGGCCCCGGGCGGCCCCGGCCCGTGCTGTGTCCCCGCCCGCGGGGCTCTGCCCTGGGCTGTCCCCCTCGGGCACCGGGGCTGCGGCCCCCTCACTGCAGCGTCCCAGGGGATGCAGCTGCACCGGTGCAGCTCACAGCAGCGCAGCTCCCGCGGTGGCACTGTGTGAACCAGGCCCCCCCAAAACTTCAGCACACAAGTCCATGTCTGTATAAAAATCCAGAATAATGCCCAGTGGTTAGTTTAGTTTGTTTAGTTTGGAGCTGTGAGGTGTTGCTGGGTGGGTCTGGGCCTGGCAGGTATGTCAGGAGCTGGGCAGTCACAGGATGAGTTACCTGCAGACGGTGGCCAGACCCCACATTCCAGTCACTGGGTTCTGCTCAGCTCTGCCTTTGGGGGACACATTCCTACTGCCCTGGGCTTCCAGTGGGAGCAGAGCTCCTGTGACAGCAACCCCAGAGCAGTTCCCAGTTCTTCTGAGCCCTCTGAGTGCCTTAACATGCTGACACTTGAATTATGTGAGTTTAAGTCGTTTTTAGCAGCTGCTGATAAAAGTTGTATTTGTTTTTCAGCTTCCTGATGGAGTCAATATTTCCAAAGAAGCCCGGAGCGCGATCTCCCGAGCAGCGAGTGTGTTTGTGCTGTATGCAACCTCATGGTAAGGACTTGGTGCAGCAGTCACTGGGGCACTTGATTGATAATTCATCTCTGCTGGCCTGGGGACTCTTTCCCAGTGTTGGTTTTCTGTATTGCCTGTTTATATAAATAAACCAGTCTGCCAGACTGCAACAGGTGGGCTTGGGCTGATCAGAGCAGCCCATGGGAAGGTAGCTGGGCTCTGGACACAGCCACACCCCAAAAAGAGGAGTCCCAAACTGCCATTAACCTTAGAGCGTGGCTGTACAGCCTTCCTGGCAAAGGCAGGGGCACTTGACTCACTGTCAAGCTCTTCATCATGAAGCTGTGTTAGGGCAGGAACTGTCACAGAGGACACAGTCACATTTTGGGGTGGCTCGGCATATTCTCTGCAGGCAGTCACTTCTCTAGTGTCAGGTGCTTCTAGGGCTGTGTGGAACTGTCACAGCCAAGGTTCAGGCTTTCTCCTGCTCATAGAAAAGGTCTGTGCAAGCAGAAACTAACACTGTGGGAAAGCACAGACAGCCAGTGTAAACAAAAATGTCTCAAACCTCTTTTAGTAAATGATAAAAAACCCCTAAATGTTTTGGAGATGGCTTTTCTATGTGCTTATGACTTTAATAAACAAGATGGAATTGCTAACAGTTCCCAATTACCTCTCATTTTGGTTCTGCCTAGTGCAAATAACTTTGCCATGAAGGGGAAGAGGAAAACCCTGAATGCTGGGGACGTGCTCTCTGCCATGGAGGAGATGGAGTTCCAGAGATTCGTGGCCCCTCTGAAGGAATCCCTGGAAGGTACCGTGCTCTGTGGGTGTCCAGGGACTCTGAGAGGCACTGAGTCCTGCTTTCCTCCAACCTGGACAAGCAACACTTATTGCCTGTCTTGTTTCTCTTCTCTTTGCCCAGCATCCTACTCTGCAGTTTGCCTGGGGAGTAACTAATGTGCACCTTAACGGGACTGGGATAACATTATTGCACAACTGATGAGGATTGAGAAAGTCTCATCTGCTCTCACTCCCCTATTATGTTATCTAAGGAAAGCCGTAGGTGCTGCCTGTAAATGTGACCTCCTGCATCCTTTTCAGCATTTTTCTGCTGAAATTTAACCTGATTTCCTATGGAGCTGCTCAGCACAGCTCAGCTCGTAGGGTGAGTTGTGCTCTGAGTTCCCTGCTCCCCTCCAAAGCCAGGAGAGCAAGTGGATGTTGGACCTCAGCCACTGACCTGTCTGTGCCAGAGCCAAGGCCTCACTGTTCCTCTCCTCCAGTTTACAGGCGGGAGCAGAAAGGAAAGAAAGAGGCCAGGAAAGATAAAGACAAGAAGGCAGACTCGGAGGAGCAAGATAAGAGCCGAGAGGAGGACAATGATGACGATGATGAAAGGATGGAGGAGGAAGAACAAAACGATGAGGAAGAGGTGGACAACTGAGCTGGCCCGTGGGCAGGGGCTGGGGTGTGCTCAGAGGGATGTAAATGCTGTAAATCGACCTTGCTGCATGCCCTCGGGTATCCATTAGAGCATTGTACTGCCCCTCTGTGGCCTGTCCCTTTTGTTATTTGTACATAAAGGACTGTGCTGAAGCTTTTCTGTGGCAGGGTGGCTCCTCCCTGTGCCTGGGGGGCTTTGACCCTCCCCAGGCTCTGGGCAGGCACTTCCTGGGCTTTTGATGCTGGGCTGGATCTGAAGGAGAGGAAAAAAGCACTGGTGGGTGCTCAGTGCAGAAACTGGCCAGGAGAACATGAGACTCTTGAAGATGAGGGGCTGAATCCATTCACAGGTCACTTCTGGGGTGTAGGATGTAGGTGATGATGTCCAGAGGCTTGGGAGCTGCACATTGAAGCTTTTGATCCAGTTGAGTTGTTTTTTTCCCTTTGTTTCCTTGCATCCTGGCTGTGCCTTCTCTCCCTGTTGTACTGTGAGTGACACTGTGTCCTCCAGCCTCAGCAGCAGCACAGGGTGACTCTACAGGGACCATGAGTTCACTCACTGACTCACCCAAACTAACCCAAATCTGAGAAACACACAGTGCTGACGGGGTAAACTGTACACTGACAGTGTCTTTGAGAGACAAAGAGGAGACTGATTCAAAATCTGGAGCACAAGGAGGGCTCAGATGAGGATCAGGGCTGAAAACACGTGGCTTTGTGCAGTGCTGGGGGTGACAGGTCAGTGTCACACCGGGGTCTGGTGGTCTCAGCAGCAGCAAGCTGAAATGTGCTAGAACAGAGTGGTGAATTGTGGTTGTCTTTTCCCCTTTTCCCAATGGGGATGGGCTAATTCTATCCAGGTCCCTCTGTAGCCTTCGCTGGTCATCCCAGGGATGCCTCTGGGAGGGCAGCAGGGCAGGGTGTGCCCACCCAGGGGGCCCATGTGGTTTCACAAAAGGCTCCTGCAAGAAGGAAGGGTTGAGAGAAGCTCTTGGTATCCCTTGTGCCTAGTGTAGGTTTGTGCTTTTCCACTTGAACTCATAGTTCTAATGCCTTTCTCCCTCAGAAAGTTTTAGATACATTTAAAACCCCCAGGTTTTGATGATGTGCAGTTTTAAAATAGCACTTGTGAGGAATCCTGGATCCTTTCCACCAAAAAATGGTGGCAGCTGCCCACAAGAACCACTCTGCCTTCCTGCTTTTCTGGCTCCTGGATTTTCACACGCACACAAGCCCAGCTTCTGAAAAGAACTGAACCAACACCGATTTTCTGCTGTCTAGTTTCTGCTGGCATTCAGTCAGGCTGTGGAAAGCCTGAGCTGATGATGTGTTCCTCACATTTCTGATCAACACCCGCCTTCTAGCTCTTTTCCTCTCTTTTTTTTTCTCTTCAGCACATATCTGGGGTGCATATTCTGGAAGGGAATGAGATCTAAATAAAAGCCAGATTTTTTTTTTATTTTTTTTTTTTTACAGAAATGGGAGTCTCGTATTTTGGTCAGTTATAAAATGAGCAGGTTGTGGTTGCATAAGTGGGATGGGAGCAGGAAATGCTCTGGAAAATGGTTTCTGGAGCAGCTGGCATGGAGGAGGATGAGGGGAGGATGAAGGCTGCTGCAGCCCGGCCTCAGTGTGAGAGGAGGGAGGGACTGTGGAAAGAAGGAGGGGATTTCCAGGTCACGGATATTTGCTGGGGGAAGGAGCTGTCAACTCGCCCCAGGGAGGTTCCAGGCTGGGGGGGAAGATCCAGGATCTGAATCCAGGGTTTCTGCACTGGAGCGAGCCAGGGAATGATGCTTTGGTGGGGGAGCTGCAGAATTCCTGCACTAAACCTGATCCTGGCATCTCCCCTGCTCTGAGGGACCAAGGCAGGGGTCTGGGTTTCCCCCAGCACCCCAAAGCCCAGCTCCAGGTGCCTCTGCAGCACCCCAAACCCTGCTCCACACCACCACAGCCTCTCAGCCATGCTCCTTAGACCAAACCCTCACAGCAGCCCAGTGCCCTGTCCCAGCCACTCCAGAATCCTAAAACCTGGCTCCAGGTCCTCCCACAGCACCCTAGAACTGGACTGCATAGACCTCCAGCCCCCCAAAACCCTGCTCCATGTCCCCCTCAGCACTCAAAACCTGGCTCTGGGTCCTGCACGACCCCAGAGCTTTGCTCCAGCCCCCATGAACCCCTAAAACCTGCCTTCTGCCCCCCCATCATCCCAAAAGCCCTGCTCCACGCCCCCCAGAACCCCAAAACCTGGCTCCAGGTGCCCCTGCAACACTCCGGGAGTGGATTGCTTGGCCCCAGCACCCAGAGCTGCCCTCGCAGCACCCCGAGGCCGTGCCCCGTGTCCCCCCCCCGGGCCCATCCCTGCCGCAGACCCCAAATCCCGGCTCCGCCACCGCCCCCGTCCCCCCGCGCCGCCTTTCCCGCGCTCCGCCGCGAGCGACACTTCCCGCCAGCCCCTCCGCGGGGGCGGGGCTATGCTGATTGTGGGCGTGGTTATGCAAATCGATGACACTGTCGCACGGCCGGAGCGGACGCGCTGATCGGTGAGTGCCGGGACCGGGACCGGGAACCGGACCGGGAGCGGGGCTGGGAGCGGGCACCGGAGCTGGGGCCGGAGCGTCCGCCCCTCCTCCGCTCCCCGACCTCGGCCCCTTGCAGGGCTGCCGGGGAATCACTCCAGAGACGGGGCCTGGCCGCGCTTGGGTGCAGGCAGGAAGAGGAGCCGCGGGTAACGCAGGAAGGACAGCCCGGGTTTTGCTCGGTTTTGCTCAGTTTTGCTCCGTTTTTGCTCCACTTTTGCTCGGTAACCGTGGAAACCGCGGGGGACGCACCGAGCAGCGTGTGATGCTGCGAGCTGGCGTCGGTCCTGAGTTCCCGCTTGTCCTGGGGTGCAATTCCAGACTCCTGAGCATCCCCATTCCCGTCCTGGAGCGGGAAACCTGCCCTAACAGCTTGACCTTCGTAGGTAGCTCTTAATTAACCCTGTAATAGCTTGGCCTTCGTTAGTGGCTGTTAATTAACCCACAGCTCCGTTGTCTGCCTGGGGAGCTCCACTTTCCTAGAACACCCCGGTCCGTCCCCAGCTGGGATTTTGGGAGCCCGCATGTCCCTGGGATTTAGCTAAATAATTGTGCTCACGTCTGAGGCCACGTGTGCTTGTGTGTCCTGAAATGCTGGGACACCTCTTGCTGCCAAGATGAGGCGAGACGAGGGAACGAACCCTCCCCGCTCGTGGGGGGCTGTCGGGAGCCGGAGCAGCGCCGGCTCTGCCTCCAGCCCGTGCCGAGCATTGTCCGCCCGGTGCCGGTGCCGAGGGCCGGCGTGTGCCGGGTTCTCCCGTTGGGAAGGCGCTTCCCGTCCCTCGAGAGCAGCGAGGCACCCGGGCAGTGCCGCGGGCACGGGCTGGGCACCGCTGCGGGTTCGGCTGCTGTGGCTTTGGGCCGGCCCCAGTGGAAGGAGCAAGGGTGAAGCCGCTCTGCTGCCGACCTGTCCTTGAACTCCTCCGGCGTGCGCGGAGCAAAGAGCTTTAGAAAGTCAGGTTTGGGCCCGGAATGTTGGGGAAAGGTTAATTTGCTCTGCCCTGGCAGCCCCAGCCCAGGGTGGTGCAATGTCCCCGTGGCCCTGCCCTCCTTCCCCGCTGCCCCCGGCTGTGCCCCCCCGGTCCCGCCGGGTGCCCTGCGTGGGCAGCAGCTCGTCCTGGACGTGGGGCTGGGAAGGAGGACCGGGACCCACCCGTGCCGCTCTTATCTCGGCACTGCAATCCCAGCCGGTGCCGTCTCCTCCTCCTCCAGAGCGCGGTTTCGGGAGCTGTGGCCTCTATCTGTCCCATCCAGTCAGGTGCCTCTGGTCCCACCCGGCCCCCTCCCCTCCCTCGGGTGGGATTAACTGTTTAAAGCATTTTTTGGATTCTCGAGGTGGGTTTTGTTAACTGAGCCCTTTGTTTGCCATTGCCGGGAGCCCTGCCTGGAGCCAGGCGCCTGCTGGAGCTGCCAACTCCGGTTCACCCGAGGGCTGTCCCCTTCCCTGGAGCAAGGCCTGGGGCTGCAGCGTTCCAAGGGCTAAAAATGGCTTGCCAAGGGATGCCATGACGCTGCCAGGTTCCTGTCAGCTGCTCTGCATCCCCCACGAGCACCACCTGATGTTTTTATTGGGGTTTTTATACATGTAAACCTCTAACCAAGAGGGGCCATTCCTCATCCCCAAGCAGAAGCAATTCCCTGGGGTATGAGAGGCTCGATTCCAGCCCTGGACTGAACACAAGTCCCCTTTGTTCCAAGTGTCCTGTGCATTGGGCTGCTCTGACACAGTTTGGCTCCATATTAGAACATCTTAAGGGTCTTGAGTGTGTAAAATAGGTGAAACACTTCATGTTAAAGGTTTTCCAGAAGAACTGAGCCATCTCCCAGCTCTGTTACTGGCTGGTGTCGTGGGTGCCAGTGTAAAACTTTGTCCCCTGGATTCTGTGCTGGGAGCTGGAGCTGTGCCTCCAGGGGGACTCTGATCCCACTTTGTTCTCCAGAGAGAGTTTGGATGCAGGCTGGGGGTCAGAGAGGTTTCCTGCCTGGGGAATCTCTCCTGGGATGGACCAAGGCTGCTCCATCTCCCTAGGGAAGCCCTGCCCTGCCCAGGACACTCACAGGAATCCACCTGCTCTTTCAGAATCCCATTTCAGCTCTGCTCCTGCCCACCTCCCTCGGACTCAGCTCCCAAAGCCCCACACTCTTCAGCAGGAACTTTGCTTTGTCTCCCAGGGCACCCGAGCCCCTCTGCACAGGGCATTCAGGGGATGTGGCCCTGTGTGAGCAGCCAGCAGTCCCTGGAGCTGCTCTGCACAAACAATCCCTTGTTGGGGTCATGCAGCTGCTGCTCTGCACTGCAGCCAAACACCTCATCCCAGGAGAGCTCCCTTCCCACGGCCCCTTCCATCACATCCACCAGCAGCCTGGTGGTGGGAATTGACCCTCATGGAAATGTAATTCTTAATGGGCTGATCACAGAATTATTACTAGATCTGCTAGAGAGTAAAACATTGCTACAGAAGAAGCTTCAGCCATGAGATAGCTAATGATTGATTTATGTCTGAGTTTTGTTACCTCTGAAATCAGTTTTGCCCAACTCCAGCAGTAAGCAGCCACTGGAGTTATTCACTGTGAGAGTTGTGTGAGAGCTTTAGAGCCCTGGATGGTCCTGTGCCTCTTTCCTCCAGTGCCCCTGGAGGTGCCCCTCTTCTGTAACTGCACCGTCACACTGCAGCCATAAATATGTAGTGCTACACAGAATCATAGAATGGTTTGGGTTGGAAGGGACCTTAAAGATCACACAGAGCAGCTCTGTATCCTCTCCATACAAAACCACAATTTCTCAGCACTAAGGAAAAGTAAAATGAATGAAGAATGACCCTCTTGGGGCTCAGGGAAAGGAACCTGCAGAGGGTAAATGTGGTTCTGCTGGGGGAGGTTGTCAGTGGCTGGAAATGGGGGTTTCATACACAGAACTGGGAGGTTTGTGGGGAGGAGTCAGTGACACCCCTGTTAATGGGAAGGGCAGTGCTGTGACTGCTGATGGGGGTCCTGCAGCACCCCAGGGTGCCCAGGGCAGGTGGGGTGGAGCTGCCTGGGCTGCAGCTCATGGCCTGGCATGGGACAGGGTCAGTCCTGCAGGGGCTGCCTGGATCCCAGCCCCTCCTCACGTGTGCCAAGAGCAGCAGCTCACCAGGGCCCCTCTGTTTGTTTGGGTGTTTCAGAGTCTCCTTCCCTGAGAGCAGAGCCCACCATGCAGGCAGACTCCGTTCTCCACAGTGGTTACTTCCACCCCGTGCTGCGCTCCTGGCAGTGCACGGCCACCATCTTCGATGCCTCCAACCTCATCTACCCCATCTTTGTCACGTGAGTGAGCCCAGCTCTTGGGGCAGGGATGGACCTGGCTCAGGGGGTCTGCCTGGGCCCATCCCTGTAGCCCCTGAGCTCCTAAATAGGTGCAGAGCTCCTGTGGACAAGTCTGGGAGAGAGGCTTCCTTCTCATGTCTCTGTCCCATCCTCCTCCCACAGTGACAGCCCTGATGCCGTGGAGCCAATTCCCAGCCTTCCTGGACAAGCCAGGTATGAATCCAGCCCCCCAGTCATTGCTGTGCCCTTTGTCTGGGGAGGGTTCATTTATGCCCTGAGCATGAGCCAGGGGAGGCTTCCAACCCTCTGGTTCCTGCTTTGGAGATCCCCAGCATTAGGCAAAGTGGGAATGTTCATCCACTAAGGGAGTGGAGGGAATCATGCAGGGAATGCTGGAAAAGTGTCAGTACTGGGAGGGACAGCACCAGGGGCTGGCTCTGTCCCACAGCACTCCCAGGCTGTGTGGGCTGGGCACACAGGGAGGCTGCAACTGAACAGGGTTTCCAGCAGCAGCCAGAAAACCTCTGCAAGGACGTGGGATCTGGTCCTGTACTGGATCCCACTGGAGACTGGCAGCTCCTCTCTGCATCTGCTGCACGTTAGCAGGGCTTTGGGCAGGGGAGCTGTGATGGGAAAGGGGCTGGAGCTGCACCAGGGACACCAAGATAAGGGATCCAAAGGCACAGACCTGCCCATCTCTCCAGAGCAGTGTCCCTGGCGGGCAGACAGCGCTCCTGGAGCCCCAGATAAGGGCTCAGATTGTTCCTCCCAGTGTTCAGGCAACACCTCCCCTGTACCTTCAGCCACTGCCTGGAGATGCTGGATTGCTCCCAGGGCAGCAGCATCCCAGTCCCAGGGCAGCTCTCCCCACAGGGCAGGTCTGTGTGCCTGGCAGCTGCTGCCCTTTGCCCTGCAGGTATGGAGTGAACAAGCTGGAGGGGATGCTGCAGCCCCTTGTTGAAGACGGCCTCAAGTGTGTGCTCATCTTTGGGGTGCCCAGCAAGGTGCACAAGGTCAGTGCATGGGTGTGGGGGTGCTGGGAGAGCCACAGGGCTGTCAGAGCAATGGGGGGGCTGGGGGGGGTCTCCTGATCAAACAGAAGCAGTTCAGGGTCTCTGCTGTGATATGATAGGATATTGCAGTGACACCCAGAAAGTCCCCAGAGCTCTGCAGGTGGCCTCAAAACCTGCCCTAGCTGCCCATCATCCTTTTCCCTCAGTTGGGGTCCCACCATCCAGCCTTACAGGGTCCCACAGTTCAGGAAACGCTTCCTGGGCAGAGCTGCTGCCACAGAGGAGCCAGTGGGAAGTGTCAGCTGTGCATGCTGAGGTGTTTGTGTCCTCACAGGACGAGAGAGGCAGTGCTGCTGATGCCGAGGGCACTCCTGCTATCCAGGCCATCAGGAAGATCCACTCCACCTTCCCAGAGCTGCTGATTGCCTGTGATGTCTGCCTGTGCCCTTACACCTCACATGGGCACTGTGGTGAGCAGGGGCCTCTGAGCCTTCTCCTGTCTCTGGGAGCCTCTGGGATTTGCCATTTTCTGCTGAGGGTCTGGCCAGCTCCTGCTCCAAGACTTCATTTCCCTGTGCTGCTGCAGTTGAGCCTGGGTGACCTCTCCTGGGTTTTGAGCACAGGGTGGGAGGCACAGGTGGTTCAGACCCTCCCTCAGGCCCCTGAGTCTGAGCACCCCTCTGTGTTCCCCATCTCTGCCTTCCCTTCCCTGGAGCACCCACATGCTGTGTCCAGTCCCCAGCAGGCTCCTGGTCCTTATCCACCTCCCTGCTGCTCTGAGCATCTCCTCAGCTTGTCCCCAGAGCCACACTGCCCCGGGGACTGAGCTGTCCTTCCGCTGTGTAACCCCAGGTTTGTCTCCCAGGCATCCTGCGTGAGGATGGCACCATCCAGAACGAGCTCAGCTGCCAGCGCCTGGCCGAGGTGGCACTGGCTTATGCCAAAGCAGGTGGGGAGCCCTGGCAGTGACACCCCAGACTGGCTCTCAGAGCTGTCTCTCTCTGCTTTGGGCAGATCCCAAAGCAGACTGGGCCTGGCTCTAACTGGGAGTGCTCCCCTGTGCTGTCTGTCCCTGCAGGCTGCCACATCGTGGCCCCCTCGGACATGATGGACGGGCGCATTGCAGCCATAAAGCAGGCACTGATCTCCAACGACCTGGGCAACAAGGTGAGCCAGGGCCTGTATGTGCCACAGGCATGAGCCACCCCCATGGGAGGCTGCAGCACAGTGGGACAGGGCAAGGGGCAGGAAGGGCAAAGCCCCCTTGGTGCCACGGGCATTGCCCTGCCCTGGCACACACAGGAAGGGAATGTCCTTGGCTGGGGGGGAATGCCCAGGCATGGTGAGGTGCCAGATGTGTGGCAGGGGGAGGGTGAAGCTGTGGGAGGGAATCTCTCCTGTCCCAGCACTGGGACATGGGCCTGAGCTCCCAGCCCTCACAGCCCCTCTCTGCCCTGCAGGTCTCAGTGATGAGCTACAGTGCCAAGTTTGCTTCGTGCTTCTACGGCCCCTTCAGGTGGGTCTGTCCCCCAGCCAGGTGTGCCCAGCTGGAGCCAGACTGGCTGGGAGTGCATTCCCAGGGAGTTATTTGGGAAAGGGGTTTGCCCAGAGCCTGGGCTGCACATGGGGCACACTGGTCACTTTTCAGCACCCTACTCCTACTTCTCCATGCAAAAAGGACTTGCCCAGAACAGGCTGGCTGGCAGCAAGGTCACTGAAGGGTGATCTTCCATCCCAACCCTTCACCTGCTCAGGTGCTGGTGGCAATGCAGGCAAAAGGAGCTGCCTGCAGCTTCCAGGAGCAGTCAGGAATCAGCAGTCAGTGCTGCCCCATAGGGTGACATCAAGGACAAGCCTCAGCTGAGTCAGCTGCTAGAACAGCCTGACCCTGGCATGGTATCCCCAAGGAATCGACCTTGGAAAAGAGCCTGACATAATTTTACCCAGATTCTGGGCATGAAGGGGCAGTGGGTGTTGAAACAGCTCCCAGGGCCAGCCTGGGCCTGTAGGACCTCCCAGAGCAATCCCTGGGTGCTGAACTGTGTTGGGAGTGCCCCCTTGCTCTGGCTCAGTGGCTCAGATGCTTGTCCTGGCCTGTCCTCGCGTTTCTGGAGCTGTAGAGGTGGGAGGCAGGGGTTCCTCACCCTCTGCCCCTCTGCAGGGACGCGGCGCTGTCCAAACCTGCCTTTGGGGACCGGCGCTGTTACCAGCTGCCCCCGGGCGCCCGCGGGCTGGCCCTGCGCGCTGTGGTGAGTGTGGGGTGACTGTGGGCTGTGGGGGTATGGCTGTGGGGTGGGACACCCTCAGTGGGATGAGTATGGGCTGTGGAGTGGGACCCTCAGTGGAGTGAATATGGGCTGTGGGGTGGGACCCTCAGTGGAGTGAATATGGGCTGTGGAGTGGGACACCCTCAGTAGGGTGACTGTGGGCTGTGGGGTGGGACCTCCTCAGTGGGGTGAGTATGGGCTGTGGGGTTATGCCTGTGGGGTGGGACACGCTCACATAGGGCCTGGGTGATCGCACCCCACAGGGCTTGGGGCAAGCAAGAGCTTGGGAGGCAAATGGTCAATGGTGTTCCCCTTCCATGAGCCAAAGAAACACCAGGCCTGGCAGAGCTGGTCCCAGTGCGTGCCCGAGGGCTGAGCACTGGGAGCTGTGCAGTTGCTGTCCCCATGCCCTGCTTGGCTCGGGTGTCAGGTGCAGGGACACGAAGCCATCAGCTCTCCCCAGCCACCTTGGTCATGAGGGGCTCACAGCCTCCTGCAATCCCTCCTGAGGAAAACCACCACGGCTCTGAACTCCTGGGCAAAAACAAGCTGTTCTTGTCCCCACACTGCCATGGCAGGACCGGGACGTGCGGGAGGGCGCAGACACGCTGATGGTGAAGCCGGGGATGCCCTACCTGGATCTCGTGAGGGACGTCAAGGCTCGGGTGAGGCCCTGCGGGGCAGGGAGGGCTCTGGCTGGGGGCTGTGGGTTCTGTGTGCGGGGAGGGCGCTGGAGCACCGGGGGTGTGCGGAGGGCAGGCTGGGCTGTCCCCAGCACTGACCCGCTCCCGCAGCACCCCACGCACCCGCTGGCTGTGTACCACGTCTCGGGGGAGTTCGCCATGCTGTGGCACGGGGCGCAGGCCGGCGCCTTCAGTCTGGAGGCGGCGGTGCAGGAGGCGATCACGGCCTTCAGGCGCGCAGGTGAGGCTGCGACCCCCGTGTCCCCCTCTCTATGCCCCGTGTGCCCCCGGGCTGGATCCAGCGTCTCGTCTCTCCGCAGGGGCCGACATCATCATCACCTACTTCACACCGCAGCTGCTGCGCTGGCTGCGGCAGGCGGCGGGCCGGCAGTGAGCGCGGCCATTGCGGCCGGGGCGGGTTCTCCGGGATGGGAGGGAATTCCGGTAGGGGCGGGTTCTCCAGTAGGGGCGGGTTCTCCAGTAGGGGTGGCCCTTCCGGACAGCGGCGCAGGTGGGCCCCGGCACTGTGCGCCCCCCCCAGCCCGCAGCCCCCGCGCACCGGGAGCTCGGCCCGGTGAGCGCCGGCACCGCCCCGCACCTCCGGGACCCGCGGGGACACCGCGAGCCTGCACCTGCGTTCCAGCGGTGCTCCCGCCCCCGACATCCCGGCTGTGCCCCGGACGCCCTCCCCCGACACCCCGGCCGTGCCCCTGACCCCCAGCCCGGATCCAGCCCCGGTGTCCCAGCTCGCCCCGTCTGCGGCACCCACGTGGGGAGTGTCACTGCCCCGGCCTGGCAGACTTTGCCCCTGGCACTCGGAACAGGGTTTGCCCTCCCTGCCGCGTCTCCGTGCTGACCCCAGAGGGGCCCTGAGCCCCGCCGGAGGGACACCGACGCTCGTACTGGGACGGACAAAAGGCCGGGGTGCCCGCAGCCCTCGGATGTGAGTGGCAGCGCGGGGCTCGGCGGTGTCCCCGGGCGCTGCCGAGGCCATGCTCAGGCTGCGCCTGCTGACGTGGGACGTGAAGGACACGCTGCTGCGGCTGCGGCAGCCCGTGGGCCAGAGCTACGCGGCCGAGGCTCGGGCCCAGGGGCTGCAGGTGCAGCCCGAGGCTCTGGGGCGCTCCTTCCGCGAGGTGTACGGAGCCCAGAGCCGGCGCTTCCCCAACTACGGCCACGGCCAGGGGCTCAGCTCCCGGCAGTGGTGGCTGGACGTTGTCAAACAGAGCTTCAGGCTCTCGGGCGTGCAGGATGAGGCAGCCCTGACGAAGCTGGCAGAGAAGCTTTACCGCGACTACTGCAGCTCCAACACCTGGGAGCTGCTGCCGGGAGCCGCCGAGACCCTGAGCCGGTGCCGCCAGCTCGGCTTCCGCATGGGAGTGGTGTCCAACTTCGACGGGCGGCTGGAAGCCATCCTCTCGCACTGCAACCTGCGGCACCACTTCGAGTTCGTGCTCACCTCCGAGGCCGCGGGCTTCGCCAAGCCGGACGGGAGGATCTTCGAGCAGGCGCTGCGGCTCGGCGGGGCCCGGCCCGAGCAGGCGGCTCACATCGGTGATGACTACAGCCGGGATTACCGGGCGGCCCGGGCCGCGGGCATGCACAGCTTCCTGCTGCGGGCGGCCGGGCAGGCCGAGGGGCCCGAGGTGCCCCCCGAGCACGTCCTGCCCACGCTCAGCCACCTCCTGGCTCGCATCGAGAAGGAGTAGCTGCGGTTCGGAGGGCTCCAGTGCTGCTGCCAGTGCTGAACTGTCCTGACCTGAGATTTCTTGCTGCCAGGTGGGCAGGGAAGAGCAGCAAGTCTGGGCTGCCCTATGGAGCAGGAGGAGTGTTCATGCAATAAAACATTTCTGATGCCCAGCAGTGGAGCAGATGTGTTTCATGGCTCTAAGAACACCACAGAAGGTCAGCTGTGGTGTCTTCCCCTAACAGGGCTGGGACTGGGTCACTGCAGAGGTTGATTCTGGCAGGAGATGGAGGCAGATACTGAGGTTTATCCCTTCTCACTCATCCCCAGGACAGGCATAAACATCTCCCAGTGCAAGTGGTGGCCCTGTCCCAGGGAAGCTTTGCCCACACAGAGCACCCAGGACACCCCTGCCCAGGCCCTGCACCCTCAGTGTACCCCAGCTTTGCTACCTCACCAATATCCCCCCCTTCCCAACAGCACTAGGCAGGCAGGAGGTGCCTGCAGTGGGCAAAACAGCCTGGAGCCGGGCAATTTCACTCAATGAATTGTCAATTAACAAACTTTACTGATTCGGGTAGTGAGAAATAAAGATGACCCTTTAAAGATGATTTTAAACCCCTTTCTCTGGCTCAACTCCAGGCCTACACCTCTTCTTCCTCCCTACCTGCTGCCATCAGCTCCCCATGTTTGCACCACGTTACACTCAAACCCCACTGCCTTGGGACACTCAGTTTTGGTTTCTTTCTGCTGGTCTTTGCTTATTCCTCTGCCTGGACATGGCCACAGCCCCTCAGCAGTGCCCCTGTCCCAGCATGGTTCCCCCACAGGGGACAGCCCCCTGTGCTATCCCTGCTCTGCAGTGGGGTAGCTCCTTGCAGATGTGTCTCCAGCTGTGTCCCAGTCAGGGAATGCCAGAATCATTAAGGCTGGAAAAGACCTTAAGGCTGGAAAACACCTTGAGTCCAGTTGTTCCCCCAACACTGCCTAGGCCACCATTAAACCATGTCCTCAAGTGCCACATCCACAATGCCTTTTGAACCCCTCCAGGGTTGGTGACTCCATCATTGTCTTGGGCAGCCTCTGCCAGGGGCTGACCACCCTTCCTTCCAGTGAAGGAATTTTCTCCATGATCCAACCTAAACCTCTCCTGGCACAACTTGAAGCCGTTCCCTCCTGTTCTTTCACCATTGCTTGGGAGCAGAGCCTGACCCCCCTGGCTCCTCCCTCCTGCCAAGGAGTAGAGCACACTATGTCCCTTTCCATGGGCCTCCTCCCTGCCACTTCTCCATACATATCTCTCACTATTTCTCCTCTTTTTTCCAGCCCACCAGCAGACTGGAAAGCTGCCTTTGGTGGGGCAGAAATCACACAATTCACCTAGGAGCAGCTGGCCCAGGCAGGCATTCCCAGACCGCTCACCCCAGCAGAGGATGTAGACTCTGGGACGAGAGGAAAGCTGCAGAGAACACACGAGGACAGGTGTAGTGTGAAGGCAGGTGTTGTCAGAAGGGCCCTGGACACAGCCCACAGCCCTGCCCAGGCTCCCTTCCCCCAGGCACTGCACACACAGTCACACACGGGGGCCGAGTGAGATGCTCTGGTGTGCCACGGCAAAGACAGGGAACACGGGCTCCAGGAAGGCCTGGCGGTGGGAGAAGAGGATGGTGCAGGAGTCAGGGTCATAGAAGAGCAGCTCCCCCCCTGCAAAGTCCAGCAGGACCCCGATCTCTGCCGGGGCCTTGATCAGCTCCACGGGCTGGGGCTGCCCCGCGTGCAGGAACCGGAATTCTTTGTCGTAGCGTGAGAACACCCAGGAGGCGGCGTTGAAGCCCAGGCGGCCTTCGTTGGCAGAGCCCTTCCTGGGCACGGAGCTGTAGCACACCCCCAGCTTGTAGGCACAGCTCTGCTCCACGCTGACCTTCCAGGCACACACCCCCGAGTGGAAAGGAGCAGTGGCCAAAGCGTTGGGCCAGTGGTCAAAGCGCTCGGGGCAGCCCGAGTCCACCTTTGCTTTCTTGGGGCTGAAGGTCAGGGTTCTCTTGTCTTCTGACAGGCTGAGGTGAGGGCTCAGGGTTTTCTCATCGATGTGAATCTCCTGTGAGCCTGCAAGAGAAGCCATGTGATGAGCTCAGATGCAGTGGCCACCACCTGAAGCACCTGAGGTAGTCATGGCTGTGAGAAACACAAGCACAACCACCCTCTCCTCACACAGCGCTCCTGGGGCCCCTCTGCTCCCCGGGGTGACAGTGCTGGGGCTCAGGCTGGGTGCCAGAGCTTCTCCTCTCAGCCAGGGCCAGAACAAGGCAGAGACTCACCAAAGCCCAGACTCACCAGACACCTCTCCACCTTGCTCATCTTCCTCTGACCCTGGCCTGACTCCCCACAGAACAGAACTTAGCAGGTTTGGCTCACCTCACTTTTGGGAGAGATCCAAACTTAGTTCCTGTCCTTTCCCATCCCCACGGTGGGTGAGCAGGACCTGGCTGCTCCTCCCCCAGCCAGGGAAGCCAAGAGCCTGGCAAGCCTGGGAGGGCTGTGTGCAGAAAACCTGCAAAGCTGGAAAAACAGGACTGGAGAGGGCCGGGCAGGGAAATCTCTTTCATGCTACAAAGCCCCTGGTGCTGATCAACCCGCCCTGAGGTGCTGGGAGCAGCACAGGGAGCTGGCACCAGCTTAGAGCTGAGCCTGGCTGTGACTGGATCTGGCTTAGCAGTGAAAGAAGAGGGTGCCCAGCTGCACAAACCCAGCCAGTAGCAGCCCAGGCTGGCCAGAGGACACAGCACCCACTGTGGGTCTGCACCACTACAAAATCATGGAATCACAGGACTGTCGAGGTTGGAAAAGATCTCTAAGATCATGGTGCCCTGCCCTGGCTGCATGCTTCCCCCTGAGACCCCTCTGTGGGTTTGCAGCTGTGGAACTGCAGAGGTGTGTCCCTCAGTCCCTAAATTTATGAAGCAGGGGTGAGGCTGATGCCCAGCAGACTCATCTGCTCCTGAGGAGACCCAGTTCCTGCCAGCAGGTGCCCCTCCTGGTCCTGCCTTCCCCCACCCTCACTTTATTAATTTTGGGTCTTAAACCACCATGGAAACAGGGCTGGAGGGGTGACTCAGTGGCTCTGCCATCCCTGCCAGCAGCTCTACTGCATCATGCCAGTGCCAGCCATTGCCCAACACCTTCTGCTCAGCATCCAGGGCACAGCACAATGAGCCCTTAAAGAACCAAAGGATGACCTCAACAGGGTCATCCCAGAGCCCAGACCTGCTCCAGGACCCAGGTCAGCATCCCTCTAGCAGCAAACAGCACCCAACAGCAGCAGCTGCAATGCTCCAGGGTTTCCTCAGGCTGCACCTGCCCAGGTGCTCCCTGGCAGATGAACAGAGGCTGAATTATCCCTGTGCAAATCAGTGCCATGCACCTGTGCATGTTAGATAGGAGTTATTGCAAGCAAGAGTGAGCCCAAAGAGGAGCTGAAGCCAGCACTTCCTTCAGCAGGAGCTGCCAGCCTCATTCATCTGATGATTTATTTCCCCACACAGCAGCCAAAGCTGAGCTCTCCACAGGGCTCGGGGCTGTCCACGCTGCTGCTGTGCAGGGCGGCTTTCCAGGAAGCCAAAGCTGCTCTGAATTCATAGAAAACACAGCAGCACCAGACTTTATCTTCCTCTGGCAGAAGGAGGGCACTAAACCTCCTGTTGTGTCACACACAGCTGACCTAGGGCTGCATCCTGGTGGCCCACAGCGCCCCAGTGACACCCACACTGCTCTGCTGTGGAGCTGCAGTTCCAGGGGAGCATCTGAGGGAGGGGAAGTGCTGGCAAAATAACAGCACAGTAATTCAGATCAGCAAATTTTGCCCCTCACACAAGTGTTTTGTCATGATTAAAGCTGGATTTTCACATATAATTCTGATGAATGATTCCACTGAATTTATCTCGCCCCCAAGTCTGTTTTCTCTGTGTCCTGTATCCATCAGGGTGGCCTTGGGACATGAGGGATACTGGGACAATAAATTCCCATGGTTAACAGCTCTGGGAAGCACATTTGTGTGAGCTGCAGCACATCTGGCTGCTTTTAAAAATCCAAGTTCCCATGAACTGAGATCCCTCCAAAAACGGTGCCAGGAGATTTACATCATCTTGTGGTGCAGGGAAGAATCTGCCAACCCCAAATAGAAGTGATGCAGAAGGCTGGATGCCAGGTGAAGGCATCAAAGGAATGATGTTTATTTTTGAAAGTGAAATAGAGGCCCTTTTGCAGCTACTTTCCAAGTATTTTAGAGGTTATGGAGTGAGCCATCAAGGCTTGGAATTTTCTGTTTTCAAGCAAATAAACAAGAGAGCCACCTGCTCACCTGCTTTTGGGAGAAGGGACCACAGAGTGACACTTCACATTACTGTGTCTTAAGGCAAGCTCAGACCACTGCTGTTAATATTAAATCTCCAAGGCTTGGTCCAGGGTGGCCTGGGGACTGATGAGATCCACAAGGATACACCAGGCATCCTCAGCATGCGGTAATGACATGTGAAATGTAACCACACACTCAAAAAAACCCAAAGAGAATGAAATTCCTGTGTAATAAGTGCATCAGCACACCCACCACAAGAATCAAATGTCCTAAAGTCATTACATTTCACAAGGATACTGTTGGGAGAGGAATCCTTACAAAAATTCTGTCCCAGCAAAGGAAATTAGGGAAAGGGTTCCTGTTTGACTCCACAGCTCTGAACATTGAGAACCTGCTTCACTGATTCTTTGAGGAAGAATATCTTCACTGAATGGGCTGTTAAATAATGGAAGGGGCTGCCCAGGTGGTGGAATGACCATCCCTGGAGGTGTCCAAGGCACAACTGGACCTGGCACTCAGTGCTCTGGGCTGGGTGACAAGGTGGTGATCACAGGATGGACTGGATGGTCTTAGAGGTGTTTTCCAACCTGAACAACTCTGGGATTCTGTGACACTGTCAATGCACCACTGCAGGGACTGGCACAGAATCACAGAGTGATTTGGGCTGGAAGGGACCCTAAAGATCACCTAGTCCCAACCCCTGCAGGGACACTTTCCTCAACTGCCAGCACTCAGAGATTCCAAAGAGGGAAATTAATCACAAAGGGAGAACACCAGAATTTGCAGTAAACACATGATGGTAGTGCTTGATAGGCATAGACTCTCAAGCTAATACTTCAAACCATGAGAGCAATAAAAGCCTGAAGTGCAGACTTTGGAGACGGGCCTGGAAACAGGGAAAAACTGGAAACAGCTCATCAGAATCACAGCAAGATGAGCAGAAATCAGAAGTTTGTACAGCAGCTTTGGAAAAACCACACTAGGGATTGTTCACAAGGCAAATTATGAAGGATATTGCCATCTCTGAGAAACAAAAAGTGCATTTGAAATACTCTAACAGACTGAAACCAGAGTAAAAGCAAACATTTCACAACCAGCCATTCAAGCACATCACAGCCAGGGGAAAAATGTCCTTCCCTGCTTAACACAGCCAGCACCAACCAGGTAAACCAGTCCCAGAGCCTGTCAGTGGCCTGGCCAATGCCTCAGCTGCACAGCAGGGGCTGAGCCAGAGCACAAACACCTCCAGAACCACCAGCTCGTGCAAGCCACAACCTCATCCTGTGATCAGAACACTGCTCCATCTACTCACTGCCCCCTGCACTGAGCAGTATCACAGACACCCCCCAGAAGAAATCACCTTCTCAAAGTCCCCAGCAGCCCAATGCTAAACATTGTGAACAGAGATTTCTGTGACAGAGATTCCCACAGCAGCATCAGCTTTACTGCTGTCACCCAGAAACTCAGGAAACAGCAAAAGAAACCACACAATGTTAAAGCCACAGAGCTGATAAAATACGTAATATTTTCAAACTCCAGTTCTTCCTCAAGCCACAACTGCTTGGAGCCACCCCTACATCTCCCACAGCTGCTGCTGCCTCCCTGAATGGGCTCCAAGAAACAAGGAGGGGCTGGGAGAGCAGAGGGGCAGGACACAGTGTGAGGAAGTTTGGACACTGCGTGAGGGAGTTTGGACACTGCGTGAGGGAGCTTCTCTGGGCACAACACAAGAGAGGGTGCAGGAATCCCTGGAGCATGAGAGATCTGAGCAAGACACTGACCTGTGAGGCAGTAGAGCACAGCACAGGCCCACAGTCGATGCAGCAGTGGACTCTGAACACAGCTCTGATTAAAGTTTAACTTCAGGGACTCCTGGGGCTCCAAGATTCCCTCCGCCAGCTCTGTCCTAGCAAAGGAAAACAGGAGCTGTTTCAAAATACAATGATTTATTGTGCTGGGAGGTGTTTAAAAGATTACAAGGAGGTATGGCAGAGGTTAAAGAGGAGCTCTGGCTGCAGAGAGACCACAGCAGGGGTGTCTGGGCCAGCTCTCAGCCAGAGTGATACTTTCGGTTGGCTCTGCTCACAGTTCCTGGTGAAAGGGCTGCAGTGTTGTAAAACACATCCCAGCAGCCTGAGTCAACAGCTCCTCACTCAGCAGACACAGGGTAAATAAATGTGTCTGAGAGCAGCCATCAGGGTACCAGGGGAGCACAATGAACAGGCAGAGAATCAGATTTCCTCTATTGCCACGGTCTGGGCACAGAGCAAGCCAGGACACCAAGTTTCACCTGCACAGAGCCAGGGCTTTGCTGGCTCCTGTGGCCTGCAGAACTCCTGGTTGTGAGGACAGGCTGTGGCACAGGCTGCTGGGGATGTGCTGGGGCACACTCCATACTCTCCACAGGCACAAATACCCCTACAGGCCCTCTGGGCAGCACAGTGCAGCCAGGGCCAGCACCCTCACAGCAGCCACTGAAATATATAACTCAAATAAAATTAAATAGATTAAATAGAAACACAGCCACCAAGGTGCTTCCTCAGGAAGGGCAGCCCAATGTCAGTGATGGGGCTGCTGGGGACACTGGGACCTGCAGCTGGCTCTCCCTGCCCGTGCAGAGCTGGGGAGATGCCGGGCCAGCCACCCCCTACACGGAGCACAGACCATCCCAGCTGCTGCCAACAGCCTGGCACAGGCCTGCTCCATCCCCCAGCAAGCCCTGGGGTTTTCTAAGGAGCTGAAAAAGTTCTCCCAGAAGCAAGGACTGCTGATCTGGGAAAGCACATGGAGCATCTTCAGGTGCAGCACAGCACAAGGAGCAGAGACAAGAGGCCACGCTGGCATCTCTGTGCTCTGTCCTTGTCCTCAACAAAAGCAGCACGAGGGACAAAGGAGGTGTCATGGGGTGCCTGAGTCATGGCACACAGCACAGGAGCTGTGGGGATGCAGGTGTGGAGCAGGAGCAGGGAAAGCTTGGAGCAGGGTCAGGGAAAGGACCAGGAGCAGCCAGGTACTGACCTCTCGAAGATCTCTTGTTCTGCACGCTGGGGACAAGGAGAGAAAGAATCATCAGAGCTTAAATCCCCACAGAAGACACCCCAAACACAGCAAGCCCAGGACCTGGGGAGCAGTGTTCCCCTTCCTGACCCAGAGAAGCCACCCCTCACCCCAACCCCAGCCCTGGGGAGCAGCAGGAGCATCCAACATCCGTTTTCTTCACCTGCAGCATTCCCAACTCTGAAAATGAGTGGGAATGGCTGAAGGCAACACATTACACATGTGGCTGGGACACTGTCTGCTGCTCCCTCTCTGTCCCCACCCCACTAGGGCAGGCTGCAGGAACAGCCTGTGCTCCCAGCAAACAACCCCAGGGCTTCCAGCAAAGGAGGGAGGCTGCAGAGGGACTAAGCCAAGAGTCAGGTGACTTCATGGTCAGTCCCACTTGTTTCTGTACCTGCTGGGCATCAGGCACTCTCAAGGTACAGCAAAGTGATAAGAAAATACCTGATCCCTGCTCATATCCAAGCAGTGCACTTTGCATGCCTTCAGCTTTCCTGTGGCATGCCATGTGTGGATTCCAGAGAGGCACAAGTACCAACACTGACAGCACAAGGTGGAGAACACACGAAGCCCAAATTCCTTTCCAAAAGGAGAAACTGAGGGTGTGGCTGCTCTCTGCCACAGGCAGCTGATGGATCCTGGTCTCCATCCTCTCCTCTTTATGGTGCAGCTACAGCTCAGCACACCGAGGTGCTGGGACAGGATAGGAACTGCCTTTCCCACCAAAGGAGCATCTGCCCTCTTTCCATGGGACTGGGTCTGTTTTCCAAGCCAAACCACTGCTCCTCTCCTGACAAATTTACATGTGGGAAGCAGAGGCTGAGCATGGTGGTGGCAAGGCAGAGGTCCTGCTCACATCTAAAATGAGAGGAATCACTTGGGTGAACCCAGATGATTCAATAACCAGAGAAGGAACTGAGCAAGGGGAAGCACAGGCTGCTTTGCACGGCAAATGTCCCTAACAGGGCTAAGCCAGGCACACAGGGGACTTTCCAGAAGAGCTGCAGGTGTTCCCAAGGGTCAGTTTTGATTAACTAGACACTAAAAAACTGGTGGCACAACTAACTGTTGTAAGAGCAGCTCACAACCCAGAGCTGTCCTGGCTGTCCAGCCTAAGGGCAACTACAAGGCCAGAATTTGGAGACCTGAACGTGGGTGGTTCTGGACCTCATTGCAAGCAAGAGCAGGATCGGGCAGAGCAGATGCTCTAGGAACCACCAGAAACCACAGGGGCTTATCAGGATCAGGTCAAGGAGGTTCCCTGAACCAGACCTGAAAATATCTGCAAATGGCCTGCCCAGGGAGGTGGTGGAGTCACCATCCGTGGGTGTGTTTAAAAAAAGCCTGGATGTGGCACTGGGTGCCAGGGTTTAGTTGAGGTGTTAGGGCATGGGTTGGACTTGATGATCTTTAAGGTCTCTTCCAACCCAGTGATTCTTTGTGTGATTTCTGTGATCCTTCACCTGTGAATTCTGTGAATTCTTGATGTCCTGCCCACCTCTGCCTCCCTGCTGGCAGCACAGCAGCTGCTGAACTCTGCATTCAAGTCCCATAACAAGATGTGCAGGTCAGCTCTGGGCTGCCTGACTCACAGTACTCACCAGCAGGCCCTGGTCATCCAGGTTGGTGATCATGTCCACCAGGTAGGTGCGGAGGGCACCCAGCTTGTGCAGAGCCTCTGTCCAGTGCACCTGCTGGGTGAGGATGCTCTGGTGTGCCCTCTCCTCCTCGGCATGCACCCTCTCCAGCAGCCGCTGCTCCTCGTTCTCGCAGGCCTTCCCCACCAGGAGCAGCCTCTGCACCACCAGCTCCCGCGCCGCGCTGGCCGCGCTCTGCCAGGCAAGGACACAGCGGGAGCATCAGCCCTGCCCCAGCCCCGAGCGCAGCCCCAGCTGCTCTGACCGTGCTCCTGGGGCTCAGCCATCGGTGCTGCTCTGTAAACTGAGCCCACGGCACCATGTCAGCCCAAACCTGTCCCCCACTGCCTCCTCAGTCAGCCCCAGTACCTAAGTGACACCCTGTGAGGGACCAGAGTTCTGTCCTCAGCAAATCTCCAGAGATTCACTGTGGGCGAAGACAGGAGAACAGGCTGAGACAGCTGGGGGTGCTCAGCCTGAAGGAAAGACACCAGGGAGAACAAGGCACAGGCCCTTCCAGTGCCTAAAGGGGCTCCAGAACAGCCGGAAAGGGGCTTGGGACAAGAGAGAATGGCTTCCCACTGCCAGAGGGCAGGGTTAGATGGAATATTGGGAAGAAATTTTCCTTGCAAGGGCAGTGAGGTGCACAGGGTGCCCAGAGAAGCTGTGGCTGCACCTGCAAGTGTCCAAAGCCATGCTGGATGGAACTTGGAGCAAGCTGGCATAGTGGGATGTGTCCCTGCCTATAGTAGGGGGTTGAAACTGAGTAGTTTTTAAGGTTCCTTCGAACCCAAACCAGTCTGGGATTCTATGATTCTATCACTGTCCTCTGTCCTCATCCTCAGTGACAAGGAACAAATAAAATAAACCTAGGAATTCTAAAGCACTGATCCTAGTAGGATGTGTGATTGTTGTACACTCACACCATTGTCTGTGCACATTTTCTAGGCAAATGAAGCAGGAATTCCAGGCACACCCTGGCATTCCATTTCCACAGCCGCATCCCGACGTTTCCTCCCCCCGGGAGCTGAGCATCCCTTCCGGGAATGGCGAGCAGGGAGCAGGCAGGGCCAGCCCCGGGGACTCACCTGGACGCCCTGGTCTTTGGCAGGCAGCACCTCGTCCACGTGCCGGGCGATGGCCGCGCTCTGCAGCTGGATCCGCTCACAGCGCTCCACGAGCTTGTTCTGGGGCACGGAGCAGTGCGGGGATGGGTGCGGAGATGGACGGGGCCCCGAGCCTCGGCAGACACCCCACACCCACACCCGGTCCCCTGCACCACCCCACAGAGAGCCCCCATCCCCTCGGGGGACCCCGAACAGCCCCACACCCACCAGGACCCCACAGCTCCCACACCTGTCGGGAGCCCTCGCAGAGACCCCGTCCCCATCCCTGGGTGGGCCCGCACCCGCCAGGGGCTCCTTCAGAGCACCCAGCTCCCCGTGGCAACCACCGGCACGGCCCCACCCGTGCCAGGGACCCCGCATGGCCCCACACAGCCCCAGGGACCCACACACCCTGCCAGGGACCCCCGCATGGCCCCACACAGCCCCAGGGACCCACACAGCCCCAGGGACCCCATACCCGGTCTGGGACCTCCACACCCTGCCTGGGACTGCCGCGGCCCCACACACCCCTAGGAACCCCACACAGCCCCAGGGACGTCCACACCCTACCAGGAACCTCCACACCCGGTCTGGGACCTCCACACCCTGCCAGGGACCCCCGCGGCCCAACACACCCTCAGGAACCCCACACCCCGTCCGGCACCTCCACACCCCGTCAGGGATCCCTGTGGCCCCATACTCCCACCGGGACCCCCACACACACCCAGGGAGCCCCATATCACCCCAGGGACGCTCATACCCACCCAGGAGCCCCTACACTCCCCGCATGCCCGCCCGGACCCCCCGTCCCGCCGGAACTCCCCGGCCCCGCACGGCCCCTCTGCCCCCCCAGCCCCGGGCTCCCCTCAGCCGGCCCGGCCCGGCCCGGCCCGGGGTCCCGCCGCTCACCCGCAGCCGCTCGGCCCGGGCCATGCTGTGCCCGCACCTGCCGCGGGGGCGGCGGCTCCGCCCGGCCGCGCTCGGCGCTCCCAGCTCGGCTCCGCCCCGCCCCGGCCCCGCCGGGAGCCGGCAGCGGGCGGCAGCACGGGCGGGACGCCGCCGGGGCCGCTGAGGGTGAGGGTGAGTGTGCGGCGGGGCCGGGCCGGGCCGCGGGGCTGCCCCAGCGCAGGGACGCGGCTCTTCACAAACCTTTCCTCACAAAACCTTCCCGAGGGCTGCCCTGCCTCGCCCCTGCCAGCGGCACATGGCACTTGAGGGGCTCCCTCGGGATGCTCCCGTCACGGGGACCCGCGATGCTCCCATCGAACCCCACAGGGACACCCCCATCACAGGACCCAGAATGCTCCCACTGACCCTCACAAGGCCACCCCCATCAATAGAAACCCAGGATGCTCCCATTTAACCCCACAGGGACACCCCCATACCAGGGACCCGGAATGCTTCTATCGAACCCCACAGGGACACCCCCATCCCAGGGGACCCAGGATGCTCCCACTGACCCTCACAAGGCCACCCCCATCCATAGAAACCCAGGATGCTCCCATTTAACCCCACAGGGACACCCCCATCCACAGAAACCTGCCAGCACCACCGTGGGGTCACACCCAGCTCCAGGAACCCAGGGTGTCCCCCATTCTCCCCAAAGCCAAACACCCTCCTCGAAGGGATGCTTATTGCCCCATGAGGATGGGGCAGCTCTGCTGGGGTGCCTGTGCTGCTGCTGTGGTTGTTGACATTCCTTATCCCAGGGCACAGGTTTCACTGCAGAGCCTGGACAGGTGGAGGCAGCAGCATGGCTTATTTTTCAAAAGCAATTCAGTAAAAAAGGTGTTTGATTTCTGTCAAGTGATGCATTTGGGGGGAAGGGAGGATAAAGGCATCCTCCAACATGAAACTCAGGCTGCTGAGGTGAAGCTTGGTGTGGATCAGTTGTTGTAGGATCTCTTGAGTTTTTAGAGCTTTGTGGTGGAGCTGATGGATAAATGTGTGTCAGGATACAGACAGCAAAACCTTGGATTAACGTCCTGCCTGAGTGCTGTTCTCATCCAGGATGCAGAAAAATCTGCTCTTTCTTGCAGTGAAGAAGAGGCAGGAGAACAGTGAGACACAGGACAAAGCTCCCACCTTCCCTGCAGCCTCCCCTGGCCTCGGGCAGCTCCAGATGTGCAGGTAGGCATGAACATGAACTAAGTGCTGGTTGGAAACAGTAACCATCATTAAAAACTCAGAATTCCCGCCTTAGCTTTTCCTAGAGTCTTGTTTTGCAACTTCCAGAGTTCTCCCACTGTCAGAGAAAAATCTCATTCCTGATGGACTGAAATGATTGGGGCACTCAGTCTGATTGAAAGAATAAATTGCCAAATTAACACAGCCCCTCAGCTGTGAGATTGATCATTCCTCACATCTTTGGAACATGCAAACTCATGGATAGAACAGCAGGAGATTAACTGGGTATTACTAATTGCTAATCACAAAGGCTGTCAGGGTAAAATTAGAAAGGGAATTTTGTTGCAACTTTTTGCTCAGTGCTTCCAGGATTTGGTTTTCACTTTTTTTTTTTTTTTTTTGTGGGCAGAACCTTCAAGCAATTTTTTGCTGGAAAAAGCAGATTGGCTTTTTTTTTTTTCCCTGATTTTGATTAGCAAAATGCTGCAGCCGTGGAAGATGGGCATGCCAGCAGACTAAATCCAATTAGTGTGCCTTGAGCTAAGCTGCAGCAGTTATTGTCTGTGACAATTCACTGTCACTGAGACTGGTTTCTGCTGGGTCTGTGAGGACATGGGGGAGGTGCTGCTCCTCACCTGGCTGGGTCTGCAGGCTCTGGCTGTGCTGAGCCCTCTGTGGAGGGACCAGCCTGGCCCCAGCCTGGCCAGCAGCTGTTTGCTGAATGCATCTGGGTTATCCTCATGCTCTTGCCGTGCCTGGAACTGGTGTATGGACCTGGAAACTCTTCCCAAAGTGTTCCTCAGCTCAGGAAAAGATCACTTCAAGCATTGCCCGGCTGCCTCAGTTGAGTGGGGCTGCCTGTGCCTGCACTTGGTCCCACCAGTTGCTGTACAGCTTCAGTCTGAAGGTGTTTGCCTTCTCCAAGCCAAACACTGGGATCTCCAGGATGTATGGAAGATCAGGAAGATCCAGATCCAGGAGTAACAGGAGGTGTAAAGAGTGACAGGCAGCAGTCCCATGTCTGTTGTGGCCTCACCAAGCTTGGGCATTTTTAAGCTCAGTGTGAGGTCCCAGTGACCTCACCCTGCTGCTGGCTCTGCTCTAAGCTAAAGGTTCCACACAGGACCTCCAGATGTCCCCTCCTCTGAGGTTTTCTCCTTACTCTGAATGGAGTTAGGATGTAGATAACACATAACCAGCACCTTATCCTGTATGTGTGACAAACAGAAACCCCTCTGGATCCCTGGTGGTGCCGTGTCCCCTCACCCACAGGTCCTGTCCCCACAGCAGGTGCCCGAGGTGCTGATGTGACACCCACCACTGGTTGCCAGGACCATGGGGAAACTGCAGAGTAAAATCAGCTTCCACACCACCAAATACAGGTAAAGCAATGCTGGGAGATCAGGTTTTGTTCATAACCAAGTGTGAGAGTGAAGAGAGCACAAATGAGCAGAGAATATGGCAGGCACAGGGGTTTAGTTTCATTATTAGATGTTTGAACCAGATTTTCGTTTCTAATCCTCACTTTTAAAGTCTGCTCAGCTTTTTGGGGGGCTGAAATCCCAAGTGTCACTTACAGGAATGGCCAAGCACATAACCATGGCAGTGGTTGTGCTCTGTGATGGCTGAGGCAGAGCTCTGAAGGGGAACAGCTCCAAATACCCAAACTGTTTTGCTGTGTCCTCAGAGCCTGTCACCAGCCTTCATGGCCAAGATGAAATAATTCAGTCCCTGGCAGCAGGGAGAGGGTTCTGTGCCTGGAGAGCAGCACAAGGTGGCACTGGGGGGACTCATGGCCAGGGAGGTGTCACAGCAAAGAGCAACAGAGCCTGACCCATGTGAGGACTGTGGAGGCTGAGCCTGACCCATGTGAGTGACTGTGGAGGCTGGTGAGATCAAAATTTCTTCTTTGCACCAGCACAGAGTGAGCAACAATTAAATATTCAGCAGCTCTGGAGCTGGGATAGGTCTGCTCCATCTCACAGCCTCTCTCTGGCTTTCCAAGACAGATGTTGTTGTGTCAGAAGGTGCCAGAGGTGCCTGGGAATGGCACCTGACCTCTCCTGCCAGCCCTGCAGCTCCCAGTGCTGTCCCTGTTCCTCTGCAGGGCCGAGGGCTCCGTGGGACAGACGGGACCCGCTGGTGCCTCCCGGCAGCACAGCCCTGCTCACACTGATGCTGTCACCTCTGTGGCTGCCCTCAAACCAGACCTGTGTGTGTCAGGAGGAAGGGATAAGGTGAGGTATCCCCTGGGACAGGGTAATACATCAACAGCTTCAAAAATCAGGGTGAAATGTGAGCTTTGAACATTTCCGTGGATTGTGGCAATGACTGTGCCTGGATTTAGAAAGGAAAAATGAGCTTAGAGTGAGGGCACACCCTTGAAGCACATGGAATCAAATTTTGTAACCTCTCCAGAGCTCATATCACATCAAATGCTCCCACCCAGGCTTGGAATCACCAGACTGACTCATACATCACCTGTCTTTAAGGGCAGCTGTCAGTGCTCTAGGAGCTGAAAACCAGAGGAACCTGTTCTCTGTGCTGTGGACTGTGCACAAGCCTTGGTATGACATATCCTCCCTGCCCTGCTCTCGTGCTGACCCCTGTCCCTGTCCCTGTCCCTGCAGAGTGTGGCTGTGTCCAGCTGGAGGTCTGGGGCTGCCCTGCGCCGCTTCACCGGCCACGAGCGCGAGGTCACCAAGGTGAGAGAGCTGGGGAGCCAGGAATGATGGAGCACTGGTTTGTGCTCCAAGAAAGGTGGGATCAGGGTATTCCTGGTGTCCAGCTGGGGATGGTTGGGCTGGATGACCTTAAAGATCTTTTCCAAACTTAATGATTCATGATTCTGTGATCAGAACACATTAGGTTTTTCCCAAGGTCCCAACAGATACTTTTGGAAGCAGCATGGAGTGTTGCATTCAGACTAAATAGGGCTGCAGGAGGTCTGGATGTGAGCTTGTCTTCCCTTCCAAGAGACTGTATAGCAAAAGCTCAGGATAAATTATGAGGTCAAGCTTTTGATGCAGAGATGCCATTCACTTTTCTTCAGGCCTCATTCTGCTAGACCTGACATTATTCCACAAATCAGCCATGCCTGGCTGAGATATTCTGGGAATACCTATGCCATGTGCCATAGCTGGCATATTCTGGGAATGGCAGGGCTTTAATTTCCTTTCTGGAATTGAGATGACAAAGCCAAGCAGGCTTCTGGGAGAGCAGAGGGGCTGTAGCCATGCGTGGTGTGGCCACTGCACCTCCACAGGGGTCCCCTGGGCTTGGGTACTGCAAAGACAAAGGGGGCTTTGTTCACCTCAGTGCTCAAAACAGCTATGCACTGGGCTCATTTGGGTTTGTAAGGATGTTTTTCCTATAAAAGGAATGGTTTCTAAAACAAGACCTGAGAACACCCGTCCACCATCCCAGGCTCTGAGGGGATACAGGACAGAGTTGGGAGGCCAGGCTCTCCCCAGTCGTGTTCCTGCACGTGTTGGGCTGTGGCAGGACAGCAGCAGAGTTGTGCTCTCCCTGTGAGCTGGGTGTGAGGATGAGCAATTTCTCCTTCTGTCCTTGGCAGGTCACCTCAGCCCTTGACTCCAACAGAGTCTTCAGCGCATCCCGGGACAAGACAGTGATGATGTGGGAGCTTCACGGGACGTCAGGGCCAAGCCAGCACTTCCCAGGACATGACCTGGTTGTTACTGGACTGGCTGTGAGCCCAGGTGAGGGACATTACACTCCCACTCCCCATGGGCTGACTGACAGTGTTTCCTGCCCTGTTTTTGATGTTAACTTGTGGTTGCAGACTCCTCCCAGCTGTGCACGGGCTCCCGGGACAACACCGTGTGCAAGTGGGACACCGAGACCGGGGAGTGTCTGGGCAGAGCTGCAATCTCCAGGAACCTGGTAGGATCTGCTGGTTCCTCCAATCCCATCCCATCATCCATCTCCCTGCCTACATTGTTATTTCACAGAGGGGATTTTCTGGGAGCTTGGTGCCAAAGGGAGCCCTTGGGACACTGTGCACCTGGGCAGGCTCAGCTTGAGGCTGGTTATTCTTCTCCAGGTAACAACAAACACAGGAGCACAAAGGTACCAAGAGACTCGTGGCCATTTATCAATGCTCTGTCTCAGAGCTGTTTGGAAGCACACAGTCATGGAATCACTGAGGTTGGAAAAGATCTCTAAGACAGAGTCCAGCCATACCCCCAGCACTGCCACAGCCACCATTAACTCATGTCCCCAAGTGCCACATGGCACTACATGGCTTTTAAATCCCTCCAAGGATGGTCACTCCACCATTGCCCTGGGCAGCCTGCACCAATGCCTGACCACCCTTTCAGCAAATTTTCCCCAGTATCCAACCTAAACCTCCCTTGGCACAACTTGAGGCAATTTCTTTTAATTGCTTGTTCCCTGGGAGCAGAACCTGACCCCCACCTGGGCTGCACCCCCTGTCAGAGAGTTGTGGAGGGCCAGAAGATCCCCCTGAGTCTCCTTTTCTCCTGGCTGAACAAGCCCCGTGCAGTGGGGCTGCATTCCCTCCTGTACCAGCCCAGATCTGGTGTGGGTACCACCCCTGGTGCCTGTGCTGTCCCTGCTCCCATGGCTCTGTGTCCTGCTGCTGGCACCTCCCAGCCTCAATCACCCCCAGCAACCCCACTGCGACTGGACCTGGCAGGGAAGCAGAAAAAGTCTTCATCCAACATTTCCAGCTCCCAACCCAGCAGGAGGAGGGAGAGGATGAGAGCTCAGTGGTTCCATCCTCAGGCAGACATAGCCTGGACTGCACACCTGAGAGGTGGCTCCTGCTCATCCTTCCCTTTCCACAGGTCACACACCTGTGCTGGGTTCCTGGGGAGCCTTATGTCATCCAGACCTCAGAGGATAAAACCACCAGGTAAATTCTCCCTGTGGCCAGAGAGCAGGGAGGTACAGCCCGAGGCTGTTGTGGGGTTGGTTGTCATGGATCCTGCTGCTGTGGCTAAAAGCCACCTGCCAGCTCACCTGGGAGTGTGACCTCCAGCCAGGGACAGGGGCTGGGAGCAGCACTGGGTGGTGACTGGGGGTGAAAAGGAGAATTGGTGAGAAAGAAAGCTGCAGAGTGATGCAGCATGGATAAATGCAGGGAGAGCTTGGGAGCAGCCGGGGCAGAGCTGTGGGCACAGCCGGTGTGTGCGGGAGGGCTCAGAGGGAAGCCACGGCGGTGATGATGCCTCAGGGGCCCTCTGGTGTCCCTGCAGGGTGTGGGACAGCCGGGAGCTGCAGGTGGCGCACACGTTCCCAGCCAAGCAGCACATCCAGACGTGCTGTGACGTGAGCCAGGACGGGCGGTACTGCCTCAGCAGCAGCAGCGGCTCCGCCGGCCACGGCGCCGAGGCCACCGTGAGTGCCCCAGCCAGCCCTGGGCTCTGCTGCCTCCCCTCCCACAGCCATGGCACACGGGGAGAGCAGCACAGCACTGCTCGAGGGTCTGAGTGCTCCCACTGCCTTGGCCTTGGCGTCTTCCTGCCTCTCCCTTTGGGAAATTTTGCTTGGAGAATATCAGCAGTTATGCCTCCTGCTTAAACCACTGGGATTTGCCCCATCCCTGGAAGTGTCCAAGGTCAGGTTGGATGGGACTTGAAGCACCCTGATCTAGTGAGGATCTAGTGAGTGGCATCTGTGCCCATGGCAGGGAGTTGAAACCCTTTAAGGTTCCTTCCACCCCCAACCAGTCTGGAATTTCATTTCAGTAAAACACACAGGGAAAAAACAATGGATGCCATTGAGGAACACAAGGTTCTTGCAGAAATTCTATAAGGAATCCCTTGTTCCAGCTGTTTCCAAACCAGGGATTTGGTCCTGCAGATTTTCAGCCCTGTGTGTGAGGATCAAGAGGATGAAACCATCCCATCCCAGGGTGGGCAGGGCTGAGATTGGGAGCAGGCTGGACATTTCTTACCTGCCTGCACACCTTAGCTTGTTGGCTGTAATGGGTGTCCTCATCCCATGTCCTCAGTCACCAGTGGTGAAAATCCTTTGGGCTTTGATATTCTCCAGGACTGTGAGCATGAGCAGGGACAAGGGCAGTAGCCTTGGCACTCTGAGGATTGGTGAGGAGCTCTTTTATCCCAACCCACCTTCCTGTCTTGGTAAAACAACCCCATGCTGGCAGAGCTGGGGCTCTACCACTGCCTGTTTCTGCAGCTCTGGGACCTGAGGCAGACCAGGGACCGAGTGTGTGAGTACAAAGGGCATTTCCAGACCACCACCTCCTGTGTCTTCCTGCCCCGGGGCCCCACGCTCGCCCCCAGCATTGCCACATCCTCCAGCGACAGCACAGTGAAGGTCTGGGACCAAGGCACTGCAGGTAGGGGAGGCTCCTGCCCCCTCTGTGCTCCTTTCTCCTGGATAACAAACCCACTTCCCCCAGTTCTGTCTCCTCGTGGTGGTGGGCAGGGTGACTGCTGCAATCTCTGGAGTTCACTCCAAGCCTGCAGGGCAGGGTGGAGAAATGCCCTGGAGCAAAGCCAGGGCTCAACAAACATGAAGGAGCTGCATGTCTCAGGTGACAGGAATCTTCTCTCAGCTGAAAGGAAGAATTACCAGGCAGCTTTTAAAGATACATCTGAGTTAGGCCACGAAAGGACAAATGATAAAAAGGAAAAAGAACAGGGGAACTCCAGAGATTTCTGCAGGTACAAGTAGAAAGTTGTAAGGAATAGAATTTGTATTGGAGGACAGAGGGCTGGTCAGCCACCACACCCTCATTTTGGTTTTCCTCTTGAAGGGGAATCATGGGCATTTTGGGGTTAAACCTGGTGGTGAGGGTGAGTCCCTCCCCGAGTTGGACACAAAGGGGTTTGTTTGCCTGCCAAGCCCTGCCATGGCAGCAGGTTCTTAGTAACCCTTGTGCTGCAGGCAGAGACCTCTTGGGAGCTGTTCAGGTTCACAGCATTAGACACTCCCCAGGGCTAAGCCCCTCTCCAAGGGAACTCATTTAAGATGGGATGAAAATAGAAACCTGAGGCTTTCCTGCAGAGAAGGACCTTCTGTTCTCTTACCTGTTCCTTTCCTGTGCACCCAGGGTGGCTCTGGGGTGGCAGCAGCTTTGATCCTCTTGCCTTCCCAGCTGGGTGAGCCATAATCCAGCTGCTCTGGGAAGGGTGCAGGTCACAGGAGAGGCAGCTGCCTGTGGCCCCAGGCCAAGTGCAGCTCTGTCTGCAGCTCAGCCTGGGGCTGGGGGGCTCTGCACAAACTGTCTCAGGGGGTTTAATAACAGACACAAACAAAAAGAAATAAGATTTACACAGGAGCCTCTTTCCCTCTTGGAGATTCATTAAAACCACGTGGTGAGTGTAGCACAGCCCTTAGGAAAACTGTCAGAAATTTGGGAGAAAAAGGAATGTTGGAAATGGCTCCAGGGACATCCTGCAGCTCTGCCCATCCAGCTGTAGGTCCATCCAGCCCTGCTTCCCCTCCCAGGAAGGGGCAGAGCCTGACCCCAGTGTGGATCCCTGTCAGCCACTGCCTGACTGGGCAGTGCACAGGGGTGAGAGTCTACTAGGGGCACATCCCAAGGTGCTGAAGTGTGGATCCAGGCAGCACTCACCCCTCTCAGGGGAACAGAGCCTGGAGCTGGGAGGTTGGTGTGGCCCTGCCCCATCTCAGCCAACCCAGCCTCCCTCCCTCGTCCCTTCCCTTGCAGCCTGCCTGGCCACGCTGTGCCTCGAGGGCTCGGGCCCGCTGGCCTCGCTGGCCGCCTGCGACAGCTGCACCCTGCTCTGCGCCAGCTCCAACTCCGGCATCCACGTGCTCCGTGTGAGGGGCGGAGCGGAGCTGGCCCTGGAGGAGGTGGCAGCGTTCTGAGCACCGGAACCCCGTCAGACACTGTCCCTGGAGGGGATGGCAGCGTTCTGAGCACTGGAACCCTGTCAGACACTGTCCCTGGAGGGGATGGCAGCGTTCTGAGCACTGGAACCCCATCAGACACTGGCCCTGGAGGGGATGGCAGCGTTCTGAGCACTGGAAGGCCCTGTCAGATTGGCCCTGGAGGGGATGTGACCCCCAAGAGCTGCCCTCACGGTGGGCAGCAGGGACTCTGTGCCTGTGGGGCACAGCAGCAGGGCTGGGGAGTTGCTGGTTGGTTTGTGGGTGACACAGGGAGGCATCAGAGCTGTCCAGGAGAAAAGCCAAACCCTGTGAGCCCTCAGGCCAAGCTCCTGCTCCTGACTCAGCCTCCTGCATTTTCCTTACAAAGCCTCCCTGCAGCCAGAGAGAGGCACAGGATGGGCAGAGGAGGGAGATGAGACACCAGGACCAAGGGACAGATACTTGAGCACCAGGCTGAGCACACACAGCTGGACCTGGGCTTGGACCACAGGAGACTGCAATGAAATAATTCTGTGTTAGTTGCTGGCCTCTCATTCCATTGTATTTTCCCTGGAAAGGAACTGTGCTCACGTTCCCAAGGAACACACAGCTGCTCTCCAGCTGACAACAGGGAGGTTAATCTGTCTTCTCTTAGCTCCTGAAGGTTTTCATCTGAGCTGGGAGGGACCCACCAGGATCATCCAGGTGTCCAGCCCCTGTCCCTGCCCAGCCCCTGTCCCAGCAACCCCAGCCTGGGCATCCCTGGCAGCGCTGCCCAAAGGCTCCTGGAGCTCTGGCAGCCTCGGGGCCGTGCCCATTCCCTGGGGAGCCTGGGCAGTGCCAGCACCCTCTGGGGGAAGAACCTTGCCCTGAGCTCCAGCCTGAGCTGCCCTGGCCCAGCCCCAGCCATGCCCTGGCTCCTGTCCCTGGCCCAGGGAGCAGGGATCAGAGCTGCCCCTCAGGAGGAGCTGCAGACCCTGAGCCTCCCCTCAGCCTCTCCTGCTCCAGGCTGAACAAACCCCATAACCTCCCCCCCCCCAGCTGTTTTTCACACCATCAGAAATCAAACTGTGCATTGTGAAATTCCTGTAATTTCTCCGTTTCTTGTGAGACCCAGAGCACAGGACACACATTCAAAACCTGTTTAGATGTTCCAGGGCATATTATTTGCAAAACCTCAATTTAAACAACAAACAAGTACAAAAGCTCTCCCCCCAGGGCAGGGCAGAACAAGACAATCCTACACTGAGTGATCTCACACAGCAAACCCCAAACAGGAGATGCTGAAATGGATTTGCAACATCCAGTCCATGGGACAACTCATGGAGTAGGACACAAAGTGGTACCTGGAAGAGATTCCCTGGCCTTGGACATCTACTGTGAGTGAATCCAGGGGAATGCAGATCTCCATCCAGAGACACCTGTGTGGAGGCAGGGGAAGGAGGGCACCTTATGCCTCTCCCTCTGGGCTCTCTCTCTAAATGCAAATCAAGTCTGAACTCACATTCCTACCAAAAAGGAAGATGAGAAGGGCAGTAACAGAAGCTGAAGCACACCCCAAACCTGAGATGCTCTGTGGTTACTGCAAATGTTTGGAGGACACCTGGAAGCTGAACTTGGAAGGAAGGGTAGAAGTACATGGATCAAAATTACAGCAGAAAGTGGTACGTGCAGTATAAAACCAGTCCAAAATGTGGGAAAACCCCCAAGACTTGATACCAACCAAGCCTGGGCCAACAGTGGTGCTTCAAACACACCCAAACTCCAGAGCAGCCATGACTGCAGCTGCTGTAACACACTGGATTCCTGGTTTTTTCTTTAATATAAAAAAACAACCAAAAGTTATTAACGTCCCTGTCCCAGTCCATAACCAGTGCCTCTGAGCTACTCAGCTGTCCAGAGCTTGAAGGTTCTGTCATAGGAGCAGGTGGCAATGAGCTGCCCATCCAGGGAGATGTCCAGGCCCATCACCTTCCCCTCATGCCCTGCCAGTGTCTTCAGGGGGGACCAGCCAGGGTGGGTCCAGATCTTGGCCGTGTTGTCGTAGGCGCCCGTGAGCAGGAAATTCCCGTGGTTGGCTGCACAGGAGGAGAGAGGGGAGAAGTGAGGCTTGCAATGACAACATGACATCCCTGCTCAGCAGCACAGGCCTTGCTGAGCTGCAGGTGTGCATGTGAGCTGCCAGAGGGGAGGGACAGGGAGCAGCAGGGACTCACGTTCAAACCTGACGCCGGTGACCAGGTTCTGGTGGGCAGGGATGGTGTAGATGCACTTCCTCTGCCGCAGGTCCCACACCTTGCACGTGTTGTCCCCGCTGCCCGTGGCCACGTGGTACCTGCCAAGGAGGGGAGGCAGAGCAGTGTTCAGGGAGTGGGGTTTACACTCAGAGCTCCCACATCAGTGCCAGCTCCCTCCTTACCCGTTTGGGGAGAAGTTGATCCCGTAGATCTCCTTCAGGTGCCCTTCCAGGAACATGATACAGCGGCCCGTGCGCAGGTCCCACACCCGGCCAAAGGCATCCAGGCCTCTGCAAGCACAGGATCACACACTGAGCTGGGCTGGGAGGGACCCTACAGATCACCCTGGCCATGGCAGGGACACCTCCCACTGTCCCAGGCTGCTCCCAGCCCCATCCAGCCTGGCCTGGGGCACTGCCAGGGATCCAGGGGCAGACCCAGCTGCTCTGGGCACCCTGTGCCAGGGCCTGCCCACCCTGCCAGGGAACAATTCCTAATTCCCAATATCCCCTCCATCCCTGCCCTCTGGCAGTGGGAGCCATTCCCCAGCAGAAATCCCTGGTCCCAGTAAAACCCTTGGTGCAGAGTGGGCACCCACCCGGTGCCAGCCAGGGAGCCGTCGGTGTGGAAGGCGATGTCGTAGACGCCCTTGCTGTGCCCCTCCTGGTGCAGGATCTCCTCCTGCGCCTCCAGGTCCCACAGGCGCCACGAGTGGTCGTAGCTGAGGAACAAAGCTCTCCTTAATAACAGTCACTCAGGCTGGAAAAGCCCTCCAGGACCATGGAGTCCAGGTGTTAACCCAGCACCACCCCATTCCCCACTAACCCACGTCCCCAGGTGCCACATCTGGGTGTTTTTTGAACACTTCCAGGATGGTGACTGCACCCCTGGGCAGCCTGTGCCAGTGCCCGGCCACCCTTTCTGTGAAGATGTTTTTTCCCCAATATCCAACCTAAACCTTCCCTGGTGTAACTTGAGGCTATTTCCCCTGGTCTCCATGTAACTCCAGGGAGAACAACAGGATATTTCACCAACCCTGGGAGCATTTTATTCCCAGTGTCTCACACAGGGGCAGGGAAAGGAATCCCAACGACCTGCTGTCACTGACACAGCAGCAGCCCAGCTGTGGTCACAATGGCCAAACCCTGCCCTGCTGTGGACAAGCCCTGACACCACAGGGCCACCAGCTGGGCAGCCCATGGTCACTTCTGGAAGCCATGGTCACTGGAAAGCCATGGTCACCAGCCCATGGTCACCTCTGGAAGCCATGGTCAGCAGCCCATGGTCACCTCTGGATGCCAGTGCCCAGGTGTCCGTACCAGGTGGTGCCCAGGAACCTCCCTGAGGGGTGCCACATCACACGGGCCACTCTCATGCTGTGTCCCTCGATGTCTGCCACGGGCTCATCACTGAAACACAGAACAAACCATTGGCCACTGGGGTCTGGCTCGAGCCAGGCCTTTGCTCACACATTGTGATGGCAGCAGCAGCTCTGCTGAGGAAATCAAACCAGGCAGGAACATCAGAGCTGTACCCAACAACTCTGAACTCTGCCTCTGGGTCACACTCAAAGCTCTGAGTGAAACCCTTTCTCCACACCTCCTGTTGGCTGTAAAGCTCTCCTGGGATGATGATGATTATTAATGAAAATTAACAGGGCCCTTGTCATTAGCACTTTTGGAAGTACAGAAACAAACCATGAACTACCTGAACTGCAGGGAGTTCTGAGAACACAACATCCTGAACTGCAGCAACTCCTGCTGTTCTGCAGGATGCAGGCAGACAGGATGGAGGGGACATTTATTCTCCCAGAATGACAGGCAGCAGGTCAGGAGCATTCACACACCATCTGAACAGCACTGAAGCTTCTTTCCAACAGGTTAATTAAGAAACGTGGTCACATGAGCCTAACAAACCCCCTCCCTGTCCCTTTCCACAGGGGCACTTTTGCTGTTACAAACTGTGATTTCAGCTAAGGATAAACAACTGTGCCTCTGGGAGCTGCCTGCCCTTCCCAGGAGCCCTGCAGGCTCCACTTCTCAAGCAGGCGATGCTGAGGCTCAGTACCTGAACCCTTCTCCTCTCCCCAGGCCTGAGGGAGGTGCTGCCCATCTGCCAGAGCTCCTCTGTGCACTGACAGCCATTTGTCTGCAGCACAGGCAGAACTTTTTGAGCCTGGTTGTGTATTTGGTCAATCCCTCTCCAAATCCTGGTGCTTTCCAACCACTCAAAAATTCATTTCTTAATACCCAAGAGGGGCAATTTTCTCCTAAGTGAGCTGTTAGAATGAAACAGTCCCCAGACCTTCCATCCATCACCCCCAGCAGTTCAGCACTGCCCAGCAGCAATTCTGCCTCAGTCCCTTTCAGACCATCTCCCTCACCTTGGCTCCCTAATCAGGCTGATCTCTCTTCCTGCTGAACAGGGTGGCACATACTGAGGCCAGGGAGAGCACTGGGGCAGCTACAAGAAAAGGTCACATTGGCAGGAGGATGGTAAATGTCTGCAGGAACATGGAATGAACCCCAGCACAGCAATGCTGCAGCTGTGCACAGCTGGAACAGTTCTGACCTTTCCAGGTTCCAGAGTTTGACAGAGCCATCAGCTGCACATGAGGCCAGGCTCACGTCCTTCTTGTCCAGGGACACCGTGGCCTTGGGGTGGAACACGATGGCCCCCACGTTGGTGCTGTGTCCTGAAGGGAAAGAAGACCAAAATTTAGAATCTGCCACAAGATCTCGGCCAGTTCTTCAGAAAAGC